CAACAAGCATATCCTGAAAATTTCAGCTAAATCGGTTCAGTAGTATCCGAGTCTATAGGGGTGAAACAAACACACAAACATTGATTTTTATATATATAGATAACAGTTGTGTTATAAATTCTACAAAACCATATCTAACAGCATCACGTAGCAGGTCCTTTGCATAACGCTGCTCTCATCATGGTCTGCCTGAAAGAAATTCAGTCTCGTGCTAGCTCTCCTGTTTCATGTATTCGTACTTTCGTATTCAAGGAGCCATTATACCCTGTGCCCACCTTCGTGTTGGTCAGCCCCTGCCGTTCCTTCCTGCTACCATACCTTCTGATATTATTTTTTCCCCAATCTGCCATGGCGCTTGATATGACCAAAATATTTCAGCTTCCAAGACAAGATGTTGTTTATTAGCCAGTCTTCCATAATTTTCAGATCTGTTAAAATGTCAGTATTTCTCCTCTTCTTTGTCCATGATATTATCTTTCTATAGCATTTAATCTCAATGGTCCCTATTTTCTTTATTATGCACTGGGAGATAGTCCACGACTCACAGCCGTAGGTTGCAACAGGGAAGATGCATGCTTTCAACATTTTAATGCGGATTTCCTTGCTGGAGCTTAACCATTGACTTTTAATACTGTTTAATCTTTGTATTGCTATGGCCATCATCCTTTTGTTTTCTGTTTTAAATTATACAATAACTCGTATGTTATAGGCTATACAATTGAATTTATGTAATACATGTAACAACAATAAGCATGCTATTGATTCAACAAAATCATGTATGTAATAACTTCGATAAATATATAGATTATAAATTTTAAATAAATTTGTGACATTACATGAAAAGCCAATAAGTTGTACATCATACAAGATCCATCAATCGGATGAGAACCCCCGGGCACTAGTCCCCTAAACCCTGTTTAACCGTTAGGTTATATTTAGGGCCCCTGACCACGGTCGGGATGGAGCTTTAAAACAACTAAAAGTTGCATTTCACAATGGGGCGAATTAGCTATATAGCGATCAACAAATAAGTCCCCAAAATTATGTCTCTCTTACTGTCAAAATATGAAATCCAAAGGAAACCGTTAACTGACTACATGAATCCCTCTAAATTACCTATGGCGATGGGACACATGCTGTACAGAAACAGCATCAGAGAGCCGCGTCTTCTTCAGCATTCTGAGCCCTTGAGTCTAATTGCTGCAGATATCTCTGGCCTCCATTCATCTCTCTGGTTGGCCTTCTCTTTCCAGTTGGTGACACCAAGTGTTTGCAGGTCTGTCTGGATATTACCTCTTCATCTTCTTCTTAGTCTGCCTCGTGAACTATGACCATTCATCTCCCTTGTGTATACAGTTTTTACTTCTCTGTCATCTGACATTCTTTTATATGCCTCAACCAAAACAGTCTTCTAGCTCTCATGATGTCAGTGATCAGTCGTGATTTAAACAGATTATGATTAGACAGCAGCCAGGCAAGGTCAAACAATTTACTACTAGGACTAAAATCCATGTATAGAATTGCAAAGAATGCCCATGGCATCTTTGAAGTAGTTTCCCCATAAGATTAAAATCGAGTAGAGTAAGCAATGATTGCAAACTAAGGAAACAATATATCCATTATGATAATGGCACAATACTAATACGATTGCCGAATTATTCGGAGTTTATTCTAATTATTCATAATACAGTTTATATCATAATCATAACCCAAATCAAAGCAAAATATGGAACTATACAAATTGTACTTTGGTCATATAAGTATTTACGTTAATTCTTCTTCTTCTTCTTCTGCGTTCGACATCAGTCATGCTACACACTGAGTCCCGTCCGGGTCAAAAATAGGATTGTGCGTTTAAGGTCGCCACCGGTCCCCCATAGCTTCTCTCGCAATATGGATCCCCTGTGCCAGATCCAGTCTTTGCTGGGAGAGGTAAGAGCAGTACTGCAGTATGTGCTCAGGGGTCTGTCTTTCTGCTCCACAATCACAGGCAGCAGATTCTTTTATGCCTATCCTGTACAAGTGTGCTCGAAGACCACAGTGTCCAGTCCTAAGTCTAAAAATTGATGTTTGTTCTTTCCTGTTGAGTTTGTTTATGCTGTCGCTCTCTGGTCTGTGATCTCTATTCTGCTCTATTTACGTTAATGTAACAAATATATACTCTGAGAACTCCGTTAACACTATATTTTCCGATTATAACCCTTAGGGTTAAACAGGATATTCTTTAAAAGTTACTACTTATTTATACTGGTACATGCAATCATTTCTGACACAAATTATTCTGTGTCGTGATCCCAGATTGCTCGGCATTCTTTTAAATCTCTTTTTGCCTTTCTTTCCCTCCAACAATATGATTGCCATGGCGTCATCCTAGTTGTTCGTCTATTTCCGGACTTTAGTCTTGTTCCAAAACCTGAGTGTTGTGTGCACATCTATTTTATTTGTATGCAGAATGTTGTTTCCTTGCCTCTCAGGCAGATGCACTCCGACTTCCCCAGCTAGTCGACTAGTGCATGCTTTTGGGGGAGGAAGTGGGTCTATTCTGGTTTTCCCCACACGGAACCCACACGGGAAGTTATAAAAGTGTAATTTATTCATCACGACAGAACAACGCTCGTAGATAACAACTTCAATAAAACAGTCCAACAGATTAAAAATAGCACATAATATATTGTGTTAAACCATGCAACCTCTTTGTCAATTTCCCAAGTTCTTTAGTCCGTTTTTCTCAATTAACACATTCGACCAGTGTGTTGGCTTATCAGTCACTCCCAATAATAAAACAAGCGAATTAGCCTATGTATCATGACATGCCAACTGGGAATCAACTCTGATTGCCTAAATATTGACATTGATAAATTATGCAAGAACGTTATCACAACCTCTTGAAAGTCTGGCGGCTTATGTAGGTGGAAACAACAGGCGGGCGGATGGATGGATGGATGTATCAGGTGATCCGACGATATTGTCCCACGCCATTGCTTTAAGCCGTCATCTCTCTTGGTCTTTCCTTGATTCTTCAACCGCTGATCATTCCAGTCAATGCCCCACTTCATGTTCTCCAATGCCTCACTTCATGTTCTCCAATGCCCCACTTCATGTTCTCCAATGCCCCACTTCATGTTCTCCAATGCCCCACTTCATGTTCTCCAATGCCCCACTTCATGTTCTCCAATGCCCCACTTCATGTTCTTCAATGCCCCACTTCATGTTCTCCAATGCCCCACTTCATGTTCTCCAATGCCCCACTTCATGTTCTCCAATGCCCCACTTCATGTTCTCCAATGCCCCACTTCATGTTCTCCAATGCCCCACTTCATGTTCTCCAATGCCCCACTTCATGTTCTCCAATGCCCCACTTCGTGTTCTCCAATACCCCACTTCATGTTCTCCAATGCCCCACTTCATGTTCTCCAATGCCCCACTTCATGTTCTCCAATGCCCCACTTCATGTTCTCCAATGCCCCACTTCATGTTCTCCAATGCCCCACTTCATGTTCTCCAATGCCCCACTTCATGTTCTCCAATGCCCCACTTCGTGTTCTCCAATACCCCACTTCATGTTCTCCAATGCCCCACTTCATGTTCTCCAATGCCCCACTTCATGTTCTCCAATGCCCCACTTCATGTTCTCCAATGCCCCACTTCATGTTCTCCAATGCCCCACTTCATGTTCTCCAATGCCCCACTTCATCTTCTTCTGTCCCTCGCTTCATGTTCTCCAATGCCCCACTTCATGTTCTCCAATGCCCCACTTCATGTTCTCCAATGCCCCACTTCATGTTCTCCAATGCCCCACTTCATGTTCTCCAATGCCCCACTTCATGTTCTCCAATGCCCCACTTCATGTTCTCCAATGCCCCACTTCATGTTCTCCAATGCCCCACTTCATGTTCTCCAATGCCCCACTTCATGTTCTCCAATGCCCCACTTCATGTTCTCCAATGCCCCACTTCATGTTCTCCAATGCCCCACTTCATGTTCTCCAATGCCCCACTTCGTGTTCTCCAATGCCCCACTTCGTGTTCTCCAATGCCCCACTTCGTGTTCTCCAATGCCCCACTTCGTGTTCTCCAATACCCCACTTCATGTTCTCCAATGCCCCACTTCATGTTCTCCAATGCCCCACTTCATGTTCTCCAATGCCCCACTTCATGTTCTCCAATGCCCCACTTCATCTTCTTCTGTCCCTCGCTTCATGTTCTCCAATGCCCCACTTCATGTTCTCCAATGCCCTACGTCATGTTCTCCAGTGCCTCACTTCATGTTTATACATACATACATACATACATACATACATACATACATACATACATACATACATACATACATACATACATACATACATACATACATACATACATACATACATACATACATACATACATACATACATACATACATACATACATACATACATACATACATACACTCACACACAACACACACATACACTCACACACAACACACACATACACTCACACACAACACACACATACACTCACACACAACACACACATACACTCACACACAACACACACATACAACACACACATACACTCACACACTCACACACTCACTCACTCACTCACTCACTCACTCACTCACATACATTACATACATTACATACATTACATACATTACATACATTACATACATACATGTGTTTTCCCTGTACTAGCCACAAAGTGTCCCAAAAAGGTGCTTGTACTGCTAAATGCCAGAGAGAGAGAGAGAGAGATAGAGAGAGAGAGACATGCTTGTTGTATAACTTAACATTATCGTCTGGAAATACGGAAAAGTACCAGAACTGGGATCGGTATGTTGTAACTTTTTCGTATATGTGATCCCCATAGAATAAAAGACAGTGGACAATAAAGACTTTGTATCGCAAATGTATTGCCATTTCCATTGCATTTACAAATTGAGTAGTTTTTTTTGTCATTTTCAGATTTTTTCAAGACGCTTAGAATCCAACGAGAATTTGTTGCTGTTTTACTATGTCAGGTAAAGTCAAATTTTTGAAAACCGCGCGAATTGCTGTTACCGATATTACTCATGAATATTAATAAAGGCATACTTAATTGAATCTTCTTCTAAATGTGTATATTTTGTGTTGGCTTGTGGTGGCATTAATTTTCATCAGCACTGATAACAAATTTGCTGGTAGTGCCGAGTCAGAAGCTTGACTGCAGATGTTCCGTTTTGAGTCGCACAAGGATGCAGTTGCAGACGTTTGAAGTAATCTTTCGGACACATCTACCCCCCCCCCCCTCCATCTTGTAGTAGTCGTAGTAATATTAGTTGTAGTAGTAGTAGTAGTAGTAGTAGTAGTAGTAGTAGTAGTAGTAGTAGTAGTAGTAGTAGTAGTAGTAGTAGTAGTAGTAGTGGTAGTAGTAGTAGTAGTATTAGTAGTAGTATTAGTAGTAGTATTAGTAGTAGTAGTGGTAGTAGTAGTAGTAGTGGTGGTAATAGTAGTAGTTAGTAGTAGTAGTATTAGTAGTAGCAGCAGTAGTAGTAGCAGCAGTAGTAGAAGTAGTAGTAGTAGTAGTAGAAATAGTAGTATTAGTATTAGTAGTAGTTGTTGTTGTAGCAATATTAGAAGTAGCAGCAGTAATAATAGTAGTAGTAGCAACAACAGTAGTAGTACTACAGTAATATTATGTGTAGTAGTAGTAGCAGCAGTAGAAAAGGTGCCGGTACTCACAAAACAGTGTCTTCAAAAGTCCCGGTACTCACTACAGAATGGGGTGGGGGGGGGGAACTTTATGGGGCCTAGGACCTCAGACTTCGGCGTCCCGGTGTGTGTGGGGGTGGGGCGAGGGAGAAGGCTAAATCTGTTACCATAAAACCAGCTACATTTCAAAGATCAATAATGAAATAGTCACCGGATCTTTCATAATCAACGTTCTGAATCAGTGCACCTGGTTTATTGTTTCGCTGATTTGCCAGGTTGTGCCTCTTGTGGGCTAATATTGATTTAATATAGTGTTCGGATAGTAGATCATATTCGTGATTTATAGTGAACTTTTAGCCTGGTCTCGTTATTAGTTGCACGCCTCCATGGCTGGCCTCTTTTAAATAATGCGACGGTTTAGAGCGAATACCTATTCCCCCCACCCCCCACCCACCCCCCAAAAAAAATACGAGCATCTTAAATAATGGTAGTTCTTCTATTGTCCGCATCAGAAAGAGACAATTTACATTCTTTGGTCAGGTCATGAGATGAGTGAAAACTGAAGTACATTATAACGGTGGAAGAGCTGGAGGGGAAAAGAGAGACAGTGTGAAAGCAAGAGAGAAGAGGCTGGACAGTCTGGCATGGCATGGAGGATCATCTGTGTCAGAACTGATTGTATTTGACTGTATTAAGTGACACACTTTTGCAAATGAGGCTTTTTTACTCGGTGGCGAAGCACATTTGTTCATTCGTCGACAAATCGTTGTTTTTTGGAGGAGGCAGGTTCCAACTGCAGTATTATGTTTCATTTTTATTTAATGTTTTTAATATTGTCTACTTCTAAGAGTGCCAATCAATACTTGTGAATTTATTTCTCAGGTTTAACGAAGCAAAAGCAGTACGACTGGAAGGATTCTAATCTTGCCTTGTTTGGATCCGATGAAGAGCGCAGTATTAAAAGTGAGTTCCCATTCCATTGTGACTTTGAAATCCCATTTAAATATGTTTTTTGGATAATGAACGAGCAATAGGAAAATCTAATGGAGGTTCCAAATAAATGGGTAGAAAAAATAATATCTCATTTAACAAAAACAAATACAGATTCAAATAAGGCGGAGAGTGAAAACGGTGATGATAAAAAACAAACGAGAAATAGTGCCATACTAAAAATAAAAAACATGGTACTTTAATTTTTTTTAAACCGCTGGGCGGAAAATCAAGTCTAGTATAAAAACCCTTACTAACTGACTTACTTCCTTACTTGAACCTCTTCTATCCTGAGGTGGCGAGGTTTGCCAGAGAGATCGCCAGCCTTTTCTAACAGCTGTGTTCACTCTTAAAATCCGTCCTGTTTTCTCTCTGTGATAACTTGTAATCATCGTTTTGGGCAAACCGGCGATTTTCCTGAGCATAGTGGAATGGCTGTTCCTTGCAGTCTCTATGCAGGCCGTCTGTTGATTCTTGGTTTTATTGACTACTTCGCCCGGCTGTCTAGTGTTGTTGGCTAAACCGGACTGCGCAGTGACTGGGTGACGAACTCTTTGTGGTCCGGATTCACGCCCGGGGGTAGGCAGAAAAGTCACATTTCTCCCAAATTTACGGTATTTATCATGAAATCAAGGCTGAAGGGTTGCGGTATCCATAATACCAAGCCAAAAAGTTAACAACTCATGGCTTCTAAAAACTATTTTAAAAAAAAATGACCACTCCCGGAGACGCATGAAGCTCTCAAGTTTAGCATGACCCTCCTCCTTTTTTTTCTCCAGCCGGCATTGGGACCGGTCTTAGTGGATTTGCATGAAAAAAAAAAAAAAAAAAAAAACTACTGGGTGGAAAAGTAAGGGTAGACGAGCGAGAGGTAGACGTGATATCACTGGAAAGATAACAACTAGAGAACGAACGACCTTGATTTTCAAAGAGTCACGAATGGGGCACACGGGCTGATTTTACATTCAACCCTTCCAAAAACAGTCATCATTTACATGTGAATAGAATTAAATCTTATAAGTATTTTGTGTTCACTTGACAGTTTACACCAAATGAATATCACGAGAGAAAAAAAAATACACACACACACACACAAAGGCATGGATGGTAAATGCACGCATACACACACACACTACACATAGTCATATACGCTTTACCGCTTATGTAGTGGCTTCCTTTTGTTTTCCACCTATTACGACCAAGTGTATTAATTTACCGATTGTAATAACTGGTGGGGTAAGTGTGAGTGTAATACACAGCGGGGTAAGTGTGAGTGTAATACACGGCGGGGTAAGTGTGAGTGTAATACACAGCGTGGTAAGTGTGAGTGTAATACACAGCGGGGTAAGTGTGAGTGTAATACACAGCATGGTAAGTGTGAGTGTAATACACAGCGGGGTAAGTGTGAGTGTAATACACAGCGGGGTAAGTGCGAGTGTAATACACAGCGGGGTAAGTATGAGTGTAATACACAGCGGGGTAAGTATGAGTGTAATACACAGCGGGGTAAGTATGAGTGTAATACACAGCGGGGTAAGTGCGAGTGTAATACACAGCGGGGTAAGTATGAGTGTAATACACAGCGGGGTAAGTATGAGTGTAATACACAGCGGGGTAAGTATGAGTGTAATACACGGCAGATTAGTGTGAGTGTATTACATAGCGGGGTAAGTATGAGTGTAATACACAGCGGGGTAAGTATGAGTGTAATACACAGCGGGGTAAGTATGAGTGTAATACACAGCGGGGTAAGTGTGAGTGTAATACACGGCAGATTAGTGTGAGTGTATTACATAGCGGGGTAAGTATGAGTGTAATACACAGCGGGGTAAGTATGAGTGTAATACACGGCGGTTTTAGTGTGAGTGTAATACACAACGGGGTAAGTATGAGTGTAATACACAGCGGGGTAAGTATGAGTATAATACACAGCGGGGTAAGTGTGAGTGTAATACACAGCGGGGTAAGTGTGTGTGTAATACACGGCAGATTAGTGTGAGTGTATTACACAGCGGGGTAAGTATGAGTGTATTACACAGCGGGGTAAGTATGAGTGTAATACACAGCGGGGTAAGTGTGAGTGTAATACACGGCGGTTTTAGTGTGAGTGTAATACACAGCGGGGTAAGTGTGAGTGTAATACACAGCGGGGTAAGTGTGAGTGTAATATTTGGCGGGGTTAGTGTGAGTTTAATACACAGCGGGGTAAGTGTGAGTGTAATACACAGCGGGGTAAGTGTGAGTGTAATACACAGCGGGGTTAGTGTGAGTTTAATACACAGCGGGGTTAGTGTGAGTGTAATACACGGTGGAGTAAGTGTGAGTGTAATACACAGCGGGGTAAGTGTGAGTGTAAAACACAGCGGGGTAAGTGTGAGTGTAATACACAGTGGGTAAGTGTGAGTGTAATACACGGCGGGGTAAGTGTGAGTGTAATACACGGCGGGGTAAGTGTGATTGTAATACACAGTGGGTAAGTGTGAGTGTAATACACGGCGGGGTAAGTGTGAGTGTAATACACGGCGGGGTAAGTGGGAGTGTAATACACAGCGGGGTTAGTGTGAGTGTAATACACAGCAGGGTAAGTGTGAATGTAATACACAGCGGGGTAAGTGTGAGTGTAATACACGGTGTGCTTTCGTCCACAGAGGAATCTGCACTAAGTGAACCTGCCTGGGAAAATGCTGGACAAAAGGTTGGGCTTCAGATCTGGCGAATAGTGGTAGGTAGCTTCTTCTTAAAGTCCATGCCGTGTGGTGTTGGTAGTCATGTCTATCCACAACCTTCTGTCTCGTGTTCTTTAAATCAACTCTGTCAAAGATGACCTCTATGTCATGATGTCAAGCTGTCCAGCATCTGTTCTCTCGGTCTCTCTCTCTGCCTCTCCTCCCCTCCAACCTTCCTGCCGTAACAGTGTACACCAGTTTTCTCCTGCTCATCACATGACCAAATAATGTTGATTGTCTCTTTCTGATATTGACAGTCAGTTCTCTTCGTAAGTCAGTTTCTTTCAAGACATCTTCATTACTTTGTTTTTCTGTCCAGAGTATTCTCATCATTCCTCTATGAAACCACATCTCCGGAGCTTTTAGATAGGTTTTCAGACCTAAAGGTCTGCATACAAATAAGCCAGATCTAATTTACCAACTGTTCGTGATTCACTTGCGTATATCAAGATAGTATTAATATAGCTTTTAAGAATTTCTTTCTTGTCTCAACTGACAAAGAAAGTCTGCATAAAATATTCTACATTTTATAAAATGCTGTCTTTGCTTGGGCTGTTCGACATTTAACTTCTCTCATACATTTTCCCCTCTGATTATAGGAAGGTAGCTAGTAACTTTTAATGATGTAGGTTTCTTACATTCTTTAGACAGCATTTGATAAGTTTTTCATATCACACACTATTTTTTTTCCCATTGAAAAGATTACTTCATAAAAAATCTGTAGACATTATATTAAATTCTTTCAATGATACGAGACCACAGCGTTACTTAACACCGTAAGAAAAATTTACAAAATAAGCAGCAGATTTATATTCACAATGCGCTGCGTGGTCTCGAGGCATGGTGTCCGTCACGAGTGCTAGAGGTTCCGGGTTCAATCCCCGGTAAGGGCTGGGATTTTTTCACGTGGACTTGGACTTCTAGTAATCCCCCCACCCCCGTGTCTCTGGATAGTGAGATCGGACGCCCGTGTGCATTGTTGCGCACGTAAACAATCCTTTGGCAGTTGAAATGAGTAGCTAACGGCGCTGCCCGCTCAAAATTTGGAGTTAAAAGATCTATCCAATATTTCAGGATCCCCGCCGGTGCTTCTGCGTTCGTGCACTGCGCTGAGATTTTTGGACTCAGGCTTGAGACAGAAGTAGAACGGACCACTTATGAGTTACTACCCTTGTGCCATAATGTTGATCTAAGGTCTAAGGTTACTTGTGTATCCTTTACAGGACGTTGCAGAACCAACCCTAACAGTCCCTGTTTTTCTAGGCAAATTTACGTACAGTAGTTTGCCATTGCTCTCTGGACGGCCGGCTTTCTTGATACCACTGCCGAAACCAACGCAAGGCGCATGGCCCGCAGTTGGGATCGAACCCGGCATCCCGGCATTACGAAGCGTTCGCATCAACTTAGCCACAGAGCCGACTGTCTAAACCTACACCTAAATCAATATATGCTGAAGCACAAAGACAAGAATTCGTTTTGTGCTTAATCTCATGTTGATTTAACTTTTTAAAAATTCACCTGACGAGATACAGCGAAATATACCGGGAAATAAAATTTGCAATATGTTGTTTATGTCTGCATTATTTAGTTATCTTTTTAGTTGAAGATTTATACAGAACCCACATATTGCATAATTACGACCAATATACTAACTGTATTCTCTGCCACTACTATAATAATCTCTAACAAACATACTATCCTGATGCCATAAATTGATAAAACAAATACTAATATCAAGTAGCTTTTTATGAATTCATGTATTTTGCAGAAATTTAAAGTGACTCACGTACCAACAGAAGATTATGGAAAATTTTATGACGGAGACTCTTACATCGTGCTTAACGTGAGAATTTTCAAAATTACAATAAGTTTACATTAAACAGATTTAAATTTGTTAAGACAACACGCACGCACGCATGCACCAACACACACACAAACACACACACACACACACACACACACACACACACACACATATGCATACACTTGGCAGTACTGGTCTCTTTATTTATTTAAAAAAAAAGAATTTTTCAAAGATGATTTTGTCTTCCAGGTCGACCAGCCTTGAATGGGTACCAGGCAGAGTGGCCTGTTTGTGACTCCTGGACCATGTGAAGTGCCCTTCTCCCCACGCCCCATCTTACCCAATTACTTCCCCATTTACCAACCTTTGTTTTAGGAGCTCCCTGGGCTGTGTTTAGCAGAGGGGCGGGTGTGTAGGTATTTTAAAAACCGGAATTCTGGTTTGTTATTGACAAAACTGGGACTAGTTGCTGTCCTGATGCCAGGTACAAAACAAATAAAGTAAGTGAGAATTTCCGTCATTATAATGTCGCTAGCAAGTGCCTGTGCACACTATGCCCTAAGTGACCATCAAATCTACCTTACCCAGCTCTGCGATATAACAAGGGAATATTGTGTCGGTTAAATGGGGCAATGCCTGGCAGTATGCCTTGTCTGGTAATTTTGTCCTTTCGAGGTGCCTTGTGACAGTGGATTCCTGTGAAGTGTTGACCACATCACTCGCCGGTAGCCTAAAGGCGTGAAAAGAGTCCTTTACTTTCTTTACACACACACACATACACACACACACATACACACACATACACACACACACACACACATATATATGTTATATGTTATGTATATATATATATATATATATATATATATATATATATATATATATATATATATATATATATATATATATATATATATATATATATATATATATATATATATATATATATACACACGCACACACATATATACGCACACACACACGTACAACATTCGGACACTAAACTTGAAAGCTCAGTGGGTACTAAAACACAGAAGGCAAGGGAGCTGGTGAAAAATCGAGAATATTTCTGTTGAGATACTAACAGGGTGTGTCACACATAAATACACGTACAAACATACACATGTAAATATACATATTTACTAACATGCACACGCGCGCGCACACATACACACTAGGAAATAACAACATTAAAATGATGCATTACAACTAGATGTTGTAAGGACCCTTTCGGGGGGGGGGGGGGGGGGGGGGGGGGGGGGGGGGGAGGTGAACAGTACAGAAGTACGGATTGATCATCATGGTCTGAGGAGAACGATACTGAGAGTAGTGACAATGGGAATCTGGTCGACGATTAGCACTCAATGGAAAGGTGAGACTGAAATACAATCAGACTGCTACTGATACTACTGGATAGGAACTCTGTGCTTGCTGCTGAAGATGGGGTCGGAGGGCATATGGAAATGTCCCTTCTGCTGTGTGTCGATTCTTTATTTAACGTTAAAAATTAATAAATAGTCTAATTCAGTTGTGATAATCGATACCATTATGTGACAGCCAAGAATATATTAACAGTGCCATTTTTTTAATCGGAAATAAATCTTTTATTTTTAAACATATGGTTTATAGGTTAAAGCATATTTAAATAAATGCTGTTTTCTTTCTCACGTGTCCAGACTTATACGGACGATGCCAGTGATAAATTCTTATACGATATTCATTTTTGGATTGGAAAATACAGCACGCAGGTAAAATGTTGTATATATATATATATATATATATATATATATATATATATATATATATATATATATATATATATATATATATATATATATATATATATATATATATATATATATATATATATATATATATATATATATATATATAAACATACATTAATTGTCTTATTAAGGATGCGGAAATTTGTAATATATCACACAGTTTATAATTAAAATGTGTTTTATTTAGCTCCACGGTGCTTTAACTGTTTCTTGTTTTTTAACACCTTTTTTCCTTATTTCGTAATATTGCCTCTGAAAATGATTCATGACAATTTCCGCCCAAGTGATTTGATTATCTATACAGATGGCAGACAAAGTGCATGGGGTTTCATAGCAAAGGCGAATGGACGTCGCCTAGTGCAGCAAAGCCTTGCATATGATATCACAACGTCTAGTTTGAGAATGGAGGTGGAGGCAGTCACTGCTGCCTTCCGCTGGCTTGAGAATCAGCTGTACACACATGCCATGATTGTAACTAGCTCACAGAGCATGTTGAGAAAGATGAAAACAGGCATGCTTCGTGCAGTGGGGCAAGCATCACTTCAGAGGTCCGGGGTTGTTAGCTTACTTTGGATATTCTCTCCGTGTTAAGCTGGTGTGCTAGGAAATGAGCAGGCAGATAGACTTGTCCGTTCTGCACCACTTGGTGGTGAACTGATGTATGACAAGCTGGATGTTGTGAGGGCCTTCTGGAAGCGAGTGATCAGCGCGGAAGAGCAAATAGATCATTACGGCCTGAGAAAAATGGCGCTGCGAGGAGTTGCCAGGGGATCTGGCTGATGCTCAACACTCAAGGGAAAGGTGAGACGGATATATAATCAGACAGTTACTGGTGCCATCGGAATTGGAACTCTTCGTTTGCTGCCGAAGATGGGGACGGAGCGCTTATGAGAGTGTCCCGAATGCTATGATGTCGATTTCTAATTCAACACTCAACATTCCTGTTAAGTATTACTTGGTTTCATGTTGACCTTGGTTGTTTACAAGCTTTGTTGTCTTTTCCAGTCACAATTTAGTACCCCATTGATAAAGACTTCTGTCAAGACGTTTCATTGTATTTATGCGCGTCTTTTCCGTTCCCTCCTTTGAGTTCTCAGGTCATATTTTATACTGTATTTAGTACTTATTGCCAGAAATGAACAAGCTAATAAACCCGCCACAAAACAGACTAGTGTCATTATCATCATCATTATCCCGTAACACTGCGTGTCGTTGGGTCACCAGTTTCTGTTGATTGTCTGATCAGCTCTCTCCACCTTTGGGGTCAATTGCGATGGACTTCATAGCTGCTCTGCAGTATTGTTTCTGAGAGGCCGTTAGATCTTATTATATGTCCATACCATTGCATTTCTCCCCTTTTCAGTGAGGTTGATAGTTGCCAATGTGCTGCATAATTTTATGGCGAACCTCTTCGTTTGTAATGTGGTCTCTGTATGATAATGCCAAGAATTTTTCTGAAACATCGCATTTCCAATGCTTGTATTTTTCTTTCAAGTCCAATTGTTAAGGTCCACATTTCACAGCCATATTTAAATGTACTAATAGCTTGCGCTCTGAGCAAGCGAATCTTAGTTTTACATGAAACGTTTTTGGATCTCCATAATGTTTACTGCTTGGCAAGGACTGATGTTGTCTGGGCAATCATGGACATGTCTTCTGGTCTTGATTCCAGGTCACTTAAAATGGATCCTAAATATTTGAAATGAGTCACCTGTTCTAATTTGTGGCCTTTAACATAGATTGGTGAAATTCTGCCAGTTACTTTTTTTCTGCGTTTATTTCCATGCCATACTTGAGTAATGTTTCATCGAGTAAATTTACAAGCTCGACTAGATCTTGTTCTTCTCCGGTCAACCCATCAATATCATCTGCAAACCTAAAGATTGTTATAGTTCGACCTCATAAAAGAACTGTCCCTTGATGTTGTTCTAGTGCATCAGTCATAATCCTTTCTAAAAAGATGTTAAACAATGTTGGAGATAGGAGGCAGTCCTACCGGACTCCTACTGTTGACTACTGTACAAGAAGGAATATTGATGGATGATACACAAAGCTCTAAGATAATCAGTCGTTCAATTTGCAGCGCAGAGTGCAAATCAATAGTAAAGTTCAGAGCGAGGGATTAAATTGAGATTGGCGCCGACTGCGAAAAATGAACTTCCAAAAACACAGAATAGAACAGTTTAAAAGATGTTTTGCTTTGTACAGACCTAGATGAAGTCATCTCTTGTAATATTTCTTTCGACAACCCGTTTACTAGGATGAGTACGGTACAGCTGCCTACAAGACAGTGGAACTAGACACTCTACTTGACGACGTTCCCATCCAACATCGTGAAGTTCAAGATCATGAGTCTGAACTCTTCCGATCATATTTCAAGACAATTGAGTAAGAGCTTTACCCGTTTGTTATGTTATTGTTTTTGTAATCAGATATAATAATTTCTTTTTTTTTTAAATAATCATACTGTTTTATAATTATAATAGTTTGTTTTGATTCTTTAATTGTTGATTGCATCTTTTGCGTAGTTCCAGATGCAACACACAAGGTCCGTCAATTAAGTAGTGCTTCCATAAAAATTAAAATAATCAACAGTTGTTGATGTAACTTGTATCTGATTCAAAGTAAGCCCCCTGTGCATTGATACAGCAAGTGGCACAATCTAACAAACACTGGCACGACCTCTGTAGTTCTTCTGTTGTTATGGTTGTTAAAGCCAATGTTACGGCCCTTTGGATGTCATCAGTATCGTTAAAGAAGCGTCCTTTCAATTGTAACTTTAATTTTGGGAATAGAAAATAATCACATGGAGACAAGTCTGGGGAATAGGTTGGAAGGCTGAGAACACACGGTGGGGGTGGGGAGGGGGGAAGCTAAAAATTCTTGTTTTGATGATTTCTCTTGGGTACTCAACACGCTGGTGTTTTTGGTCATGAGACAACGAATGTGGAACAGACCGTCAAGCAACTTTTTGGGGAGCCAAAATCTTGCACTAAAATGTTATGAATGGTCTCTCTATTAACAAAAGATTCATCTGCCATCATCCTCACAGTAAAACAATGACCTCTTGTATCCGTTTTCTGACTTTTGCAATGAATTCATCATTATGAACAGAAATTTTGAGTCCAACGTCTACAGCGTTGCAGAATGAGTTACAGTGCTACCCAGCAAAACAGACTTGCACAGTGTGATAGTTACAGTGGCACCCAGCCAAACAGACTTGCACAGTGTGATAGTTACAGTGCCACCCAGCAAAATAGACTTGCACAGTGTGATAGTTACAGTGGCACCCAGCAAAACAGACTTGCACAGTGTGATAGTTACAGTGGCACCCAGCAAAACAGACTTGCACAGTGTGATAGTTACAGTGGCACCCAGCAAAACAGAATTGCACAGTGTAATAGTTACAGTGTCACCTAGCAAAACAGACTTGCACAGTGTGATAGTTACTGTGCCACCCAGCAAAACAGACTTGCACAGTGTGATAGTTAGAATGCCACCCAGCAAAACAGCCTTGCACAGTGTGATAGTTACTGTGGACCGAGGGTTCCGGGAAAGGACGTCTGGTTAAACAAAGGCATCGGGACAAGAGCTGATCAATGAAAATGCAATCCCAGTAGACATCGTTGTATACACGGATGGATATGTAGTGAGCGGTGGAAAGAGTAGGTAGGGTGAATGAACACTGTTTGAAAACAGAGAGCTTCGAGTACAGCGTAACAACATGCACTATGAGAATGGAGGTGAAGGCAGTACCGGCAGCTTTCCTATGGCCGGAGAGCAGCACAGCCCAACATGTTTGTAATGGACAAAGCATGCTTCGGAAAACAGAAACAGACACCCCACGCGTAGAGTGGCTTGTATAGATTGATAAGATTCAGATCAGCAGCATATCATGTCCAGGAACTTAGGGTAGACGGACTCATGAGCGCGCGTATAGATTGGTTGCTGACACTCCTCTGGGTGGTGAGCTACTCTATGATAAAGTGGAGGTGGTGAAGGCTCTCTGGGGTCAAGTGTACAGGCAATAGAACAGACCCAAGCATCCATAAATTGACAGACTAATTCATGAAAAGGGGTGAGGGCGGTGAGCAGATGCTCTGGAACATATTCTACACAGGGAAGAACACAGGCAGACTTTTTATCGGGTTGCAGTTTGTACTGTTTGCATATTGACTCATCGTTGGCTAATAAGGAAGGAGACTGAGAGCGCGTGGGAATGTCCCGAGTGCAGGGATGTCCTTCATTCATTCCTTCATTCATTCCCTAATTCATTCCTTCATTCATTCATTCACGTGTCTCTGTAAAATATGATGGTGACTCGTAAAAGGTTTGGAGCCGCTCCAGTAGCTTATGTCATCATTATTTGTGGACAACTTGCCGACTCGAAATTTATCTTTCCATGAAAAAGCAAACAGACGTTTAGTCTAGGAATATATTGCAAGGCTTTTGCTCGATCACTTATTGACGAATTGTAAAAACTATATAATTATTATTATTATTATTTTTTTAAATAGAGTGATAGACTTCTGGAAATATCGTGTTTTTAGATAACGAGCGTTCATTTGAAAAGCTGCCCCAGTGGCTTCATTACAAAAGTAGAAAAGAAACATCATTATGTTTGGAAGAATTAAACACAGCATTCTTTTTGATTTAGTTTTCCCCTGTGTGGGTTCCTGGGCCCCATTGTAGGGAAAACAAGAATAGACCCACTGCCTCACCAAAAGCATGTCGTAAGAGGCGACTAATTGGGGAGCTTCCTTTGAAGTCGGAGTGCATCTGCCGGAGAGGCAAGGAACCAACAGTCTTTATTCAAGAGAATAAGATCTGTAAAACTGATGCACACGCAACACTCAGGTTCTGGAGCAGGACTGCAGTTCAGTAGTGGACGAGCAACCAGAACTTGCCGCCAGAGTTTACAGCTGGTGAACGCGAAGAAGAAGAAGAAGAATTAGTTTTGCATCGCGGATTGAACAAAAGAAGTTGCCGCAGGCATTCAGACTAGCATCCCATTGCTTATCTTGACGACGAATGTCGTCTGCAAGATTGTGGTTGCTTACTGAACCAAGTTTTACTGCATTCATTACGTGGTACAATATGAGAACACACCTTTCGATCTTGCAAACAACCTTTTCAACATAAATTTTTCACATTACGTAAAATAATTATGCTTAAATAGATTGAATGTTTGTGTTTTATGTACAATTTTAAAAACGCTTTTGAATAAAATAGTGTTGAAAAATATCCCTTCAACTTACGAACAGTTTGACTTGCGACCTGTTAGTCAGAACCTAACTCAGTCGTAAGTCGAGGCGATCCTGTATAATTTATTGCTAATTTTTCTGAGTTCTGTGGTAACAATTTTTCCAGGCTTCTTAGAGGTGGAGCGGAAAGCGGTTTTAGGCAAGTGCGGCCAGTTGATTACCAGCCCAGACTGCTTCATTTTCATGGCGACAGACACGGCGTCAAGGTTAATGAGGTAAACATGTAATATAAATATGTTGATCTTTCTATTTTGTTTTAGGTTACCGATTTCTTTTTAGCTATATGTTTCTCACGCCTGTGAGTACCCACCTTCAAAATGGCCATGACTGTTCCCATTTGGTTGTTATTTTACAATTTAACTGCATCAGGCATTTCACAGAAAAAATAGCAACAGGTGCCCTATTTATAACGTCTTTAGATGTTGAACGGGGTATCTATGGTCTGCCTTGTTAGTTTGCCTCCTGATTAAGATAGTTTTTAAACTAAATCTCAGGGTGGTAAACCTTCAATAGCAGCATGAAGGCAGACAACCCTGTCGAGCTATTGATTCGTTACTGATTAATGAGCAGTCCATGTTGGGTGGGTCGATGGTCAACAGAATATGGTCAAGAAAACTTTACTTATTAAGAAGGGGAAAACGGAAGTACGCCTGACTATGGCAAGCCGAAGGAAAGGAGAGACGTCGAAAGAGGTGTTTAGTGATTTGGTATCATGCTTAGATGGACATCTGTATCAGAAACGTTTGGCTGTACACGGCACAAGGAGTTGTTGACAGACAAGTTACTAAACCCACGCGGCATTGTTGGTAAAAAGAACAGTAGGTAAAACTGAAAACGCTAGAAGTAAAATAAGAGAGATCGTTTAAGTCAGGGTTGTTTTCTTGTCGTACACAGTACCGGCACAGTTTGTTGATACTGTGTAGTGAGTACTGTCACATTTTGTTTCTAGGAAAAAAGCCCTGGTTTTATAGGAACACTGTTGGAAGCAACAAAAGACCTTTCGCTCACAAACTTTTTTCACCAAAGTAAAAATTACAATTAACGAAGACAGAACGGACAGTTTGAGACACAATGATGTCACAAAGCCCATACTTGTAAAGATGTTTTAGATCGATTTTTATGCAGTGTGTTCCTTTGTAATTCATAAGGACAAATAGTTTTGGCATGTGTACACACACACACACACATCCACATGAGCATGCACGCACACACACACCCACACACACACACCCACTAACGCTAACGTAATCTGACTGAATTCGTATATTGCTGACAGGTGGCTCGTAACCCCGAGCTGCTGGACAAAACTGATGTGTACATACTTGATCTCGGGCTGCAGCTGTGGCAATGGAATGGTTCCGGCAGCAACAAGGATGAGCGATTCAAGGTATGAAGAGACTTCCAATTCATGGTATTACTGATCTGCTGTATGTTGAAACTACGAGTACTTTGTGGCACAGAAACGTGGACAATAAAGAAAAATATGGTGAGTCCAACTGAGGCCCTGAAGACGTGGGTGTACTGGAGAGACTTGCCTCGAGTGCTGGAGGTCCCGGGTTCAGGGACTTCTAATAATTTTCCCTGGTCTCTGGGTAGTAAGATCGGACGCCAGTGTGTATTGCTGCGCACGTAAAAAATTCCCTTGGCAGTTGGAAATCTAAAAAAGTAGCCTAACGGCTCTGCCCGGACCCAAAGTATTCAAGGATCTTGCCGGTAACACAAAGTTCGTAGACTGCGCTGAGATTCTTTGGACTCGGGCTAAGGTTAGAAGTAGAACGGAGCACTTATGTGTTACTACCCTTGTGCCATGACGTTGATCTGTTGTTGAAAACCTAAACCCCATTTTCGTGAAACAAACAATCACGCCACTAGGCTCTGTGGAGACTAGAGATTTAGGACATTTTTAGAAAGCAAAGTCGTCAGATATGATGCTGACTAGACCCCTCATTGAGTTCCGAATGGCGTATACAGTATACACAAATGGGGTTAGTAGCAGGGGTGCCATCACAAAGAATTTTTTAAGTCGGACGGCTCTTGTGTGGCTTGAGCCCCGCTTAAATGCTCAGTAATAACAATATTTGTATTATTATCATTATTATTACTATTATTATACACCAGGCGGCAAATTAATATAAAAAATATTTCAAATAAAACTAACTTCAACAAGAGAACTCTATATAAGGTTAGAGGGAAGATTTAGTCCCTTCTCAATTTTGCTAAGAGGTGGGGGGAGGAGGAGATTGCAGGTGCTGCCCCCCCCCCCCCATCCCCTCACCGTCCCCAAAGATTATTGTGGGGTTCAGGTCGCCTGAATTAATTGGGGGGGGGGGGGGGATGTTCAAGGTGCCAGACACTGCCGTCTCTAGAGATGGCCGTGCCTGAGCCCACACGTTACGACACCCCTGGTTAGTACCATACCATTAGGTCATAAGGTACATAGATATGACATTATCACTACTTAGCTTTGGTTTAACTGCCGGGGTCTGGCTACATCTGGATCGATAGCAGGAGAGACTCACGACAATGATAATGCTTCTGCTGATGTTACGATTCTGGTGAATATAATTTTCTATTAATAATAGCAAATGAGCCTTGTGAGGGATGACTAACTTGAACTATTTTTGATTGTTCGCAAGTTTCCCTGACTTGTATACACAAAAGTGCATGGGGTTCAATGCAAAAGCGAATAAAACGTCGTTCAGTGCAATAAAGCTAAGGATATGATACCATAACCTCTTGTTTGAGACTGGCGATGCAGACAGTTACATCAGCTTTTTGCTGCTTTGAGTACCAGCTGAACACAACGTTGAGTGCTTTGTTAATATCCTACCCCAAATATGGTAAATCCACAGGTCACGGGACAGTCTAATATTTCAGGGGGTGGTAAATAGGCTGCACGTGGGTGAGTTGGGGTTAGGACCAGTTCTAGATGTTTTGGGGTCGTTAAAAGCATCAGGAAGCCGTCTAAAACGTTGGACTGTCCTGTGACGTCATCTGGGGTAATATATTAATAAAGAACCCAACATTGTGATTGTAACAGATTTACAGAGCATGATGAGAAAAGCATGATCCGTTCATTGTGGTAAGCATTGCTTCAGAGGTCCCTGGAGTCCTTAGGATTTTGTTTTCTGCAGGAACTGCAGGTGTTGCGGGAAAATAATTGGCAGACAGATTAGCTGGTGATGACTGGATGCATGACACGCTAGATGTGGGAAGGACCCTTGGGAGCAAGTAAACGACGTGGAGCACGAACAGATCATTGGGTTTTGGAGAGAATGGTGCGGCTGGAAGTGACCAGGGGGTCTGGCTGATACTCTGCACTCATGGGAAACGCAAGACGAACATATAATCAGGTATAATGATACAGCATTGCAACCCTTTGTTCGCTGCTAAAGCTGAGGATGGGTCACATACGCAAATGTCATGAGTGATGCGAGGTCAGTTTTTGAATCAGATTCACTCAACATATGTAAAACATATTCGTGTTTCCCTAATTAATGCTGTTTACAACGGTAACCACAGTTCTCATTACTTCGTATGGTAGGCCCGACAATACATGCAAGGAATTGTGAACGAGAGAGCTGGCAAGCCAAAAGCTGACGTTCTTGATGAAGGATCGGAAGATGTGAGTCCATGTTTCCCTTGTCTGTCTGTCACTGTAATCTGGTCATTGTCCTCAAATACCGTATTGGTGTGAATCCATACACATTCGGCCCGTACGAGTTTCCAGCCCACATTTATGCAAGTTCATCTCTTGTTGTTGTCAGCTCACCTGTAGCACTGTCTTCATTTAGCAAACTCTTCCACTTTTTACTCGAAAATATCCTTTAATAAAGATGTCTCTACTTATGCAGGAAGTACTTTAATTATTTTACCGTGATTTTATTCAGTCAGGATTTCTTCAATGCCAGAGTACTTAAATATATGAGGCAAAGAGAGAGAAATAGAGAGAGAGAGAGAGAGAAGGAGAGAGAGAGAGAGACAGAGAGAGAGAGAGACAGAGAGAGAGAGAGACAAAGTGAGGAAGAGAATGAGACATACTTAAATGTATGAGACAGACAGAGAGAGAATGAGACAGAGATGGGGGCACAAATAGAGGGAAAAGATACAGAGAAGGGAGAGGGGAAGGAGGAAAGGAATCAAGTGAGGAAAATGGGGAGATACACGTAAAGAAGAAGAGGAGCATTTCATATTGCAGATATAGTCAAGGATCTTTTCCACACCTTCGGGCTTATTGGGTATATAGGTCTCCACCTAAATTTTATAGACCGATCAGCACTCGGTGGGTGATGTGGTCAACATCATGTCTTCCGCCTTTACTTCCCAGAAATCTACCTGGTACATATTTAAGGCTAGGTCGAACTGGGAGCAGAAGTCATTTTTTTTGGGGGGGGGGGGGGGGTTTAAATTCTGGCTCTATCAGGAGCTGAACCCACGACCTTGAGATATGCAGTTAAAAGTCTAGTGACTACACTACAAAGTCTAGCCACTACACTACAAAGTCTAGCCGCTACACTACAAAGTCTAGCCACTACACTACGGCAGCTCCCCTTACTGCTTACAAATAAACAACTAGTTGTACAAATATATGACATAGTGTGTACATATAAACAACAAGTAGTACAAACATATGACACGGTGTGTACATATAAACAACAAGTAGTTCAAACATTTGACACTGTGTACATATAAACACAAGTAGTCCAAACAGTGTGTACATATAAACAAGTAGTTCAAACATATGACACAGTGTTTACACAAAAACAACAAGTAGTACAAACATTTGACACAGTGTGTACATATAAACAACAAGTAGTACAAACATTTGACACAGTGTGTACATATAAACAACAAGTAGTACAAACATTTGACACAGTGTGTACATATAAACAACAAGTAGTACAAACATTTGACACAGTGTGTACATATAAACAACAAGTAGTACAAACATATGACAGTGTGTACATATAAACAACAAGTAGTACAAACATATGACACAGTGTGTACATATAAACAACAAGTAGTACAAACATATGACAGTGTGTACATATAAACAACAAGTAGTACAAACATTTGACACAGTGTGTACATATAAACAACAAGTAGTACAAACATTTGACACAGTGTGTACATATAAACAACAAGTAGTACAAACATATGACACAGTGTATGTAAACAACAGGTAGCACACACATATGACAGTGTGTACATATAAACACAAGTAGTCCAAACATGACAGTGTGTACATATAAACAAGTAGTTCAAACATATGACACAGTGTTTACACAAAAACAAGTAGTACAAACATTTGACACAGTGTGTACATATAAACAACTAGTTGTACAAACATATGACACAGTGTATGTAAACAACAAGTAGCACACACATATGACAGTGTGTACATATAAATAACAAGTAGTACAAACATATAACAACATGTACATACAAACAACAAGTAATTCAAACATATGACAGTGTGTACAAATAAACAACAAGTAGTACAAACATATGACACAGTGTGTACATATAAACAACAAATTATCTAGCTAAATGTCTGGAAATAATTATTTAATTTCACAGGATGAGTTCCTGAGTTTGTTGACAGAAGAAATGGAAGAGGAGCAAGACTTCTCATCGACAGACAGTACCAAAGAACTTTACAGGTGATTTCTTTTAATATTTTGTTTAAAGAAAGAAATGCATTTACTATTTATCGAATGGTGTGTATAAGTTGATAGGAAAGAACATAAGTCTTTAAAAAAAAAAAATCATCAACGACCCAGATGCAAAAGAACTGTAATTTGATTGTTTGAACTCTTTGTTATTCTTGTGCGAAATTGGAACAGTTCACTCATTAAATTACAAAGATTTTAAATATCATAATTATGTTCCTATCAGTAGTTTATTGACTTCACCTAATATTATACACTTTCCTCAACCTTTTTTTCCCCCAGTCTATCCTGTTTTAAATTCTCCCACTCAACTCCAGTTTTTTTCTTTTTTAAACTCCTTTCTCATAGTGTTACAATCTTCTTCTTAATCGCATTCACTAGCTGTTAAATCCTGCAGAAATTTCTGGTTGTTCGGGACTGTAGTCCTGTTTCAGAACCTGACTGTTGTGTGCGCATCTGTTTTACAGATTCATCTGTATGCAGAATGTTGGTTCCTTGCCTCACAGGCAAATGCACACTGACTTCGAAGGAAGCTCCCAATAAGTCGACTCTTGCGACATACTTTTAGGTAGACAGTCGGTCTATTCTTGTTTTTCCTACAAGAGAGCCCCGGAACCCACATGTGGAAGTGTTTTAATATGTTACTTCAGCACATCCAAATATTGATTACTGAAAGTAACAAGTTCTAGAACCGAATTAGTTAAAAGTTACATCTGCTTGGCACTGACAGAAGTAAAACGACATGAATTTTGAATTAATTAAATAATGGAGAAATCTGGAACTATAACACCAGCTATATGGATAACAAGTAACTTTTATCACTGGAATGAAGGGTGGCAGTTTATACACTGCTGGAAAAAGTGGTCTTGCAACAAGCACAGTGTGTTTTAAAAAGCATTGTTTGAATTCTTATTACTGATCATGTAGCCTATGTGCTTTTCTTCCAGGCTATCTGATGAATCTGGAAATCTCAGCTTCTCACTAGAAAAAACTGGCAGTATTCAGGAAAGTGACTTTGATTCTCAGGTGAAAACTTCATTAAGGCAACTATTTTGAAAATTATTTGTAACTCCCAGAAACCAACTTTGAAGCAGACTGCTTTGCTTTTATTTTGATAATGGTATCAATAGCTGACCATTCAAGAGCAATGCTAAACTAATGAACATAAAATTGCCTAGTGAAACCAAAAGGAAAAAAAAAAAAAAAAAGCTGGGGTTGGTTCTGCAATGTTCTATAAGGTTACACAACTAACTTGTTTTGAAATTAAGTCATTACATAATGTTACAATTTAGTTTTTCATCAGCTAGGAAGCTGGTTTGTAGAATGGTTTGTAGTAAACTGTAGCTAAATGCTGTGTGTATGAGAGAGATAAGAAGACTGTTAGTGTATTTAACAAAATTATTAAAAACCAGGAGGCCTGAACGTGCCGATTAGTGTGCCTGTTTACGAGGCAGTAAATGGGCTGCTGCTCCTCATCCTGTGTTCATCCCGAAAGATGTGTTGTGGTTTACAGCAAGTCTTCGAGGGAAACATCCCTCATTCATTCATTCATTTATCAATCGGCATGTCCTTTAGAGAACGTTGCTCTCTTTGCGGCACACCTGAAAGTATCCCTCTTCCCTAGCCAGCTCCCCAGCCCCATGAGCTTTCAATGCCAATGCATCTTCAATGTCCTGTATCCATCTTCGCAGTGGTCGACCCCTGCCTCACTTTCACCAAACTGCACCCTCCATCACCGTCGTTTGCAAGCCACCGTGATGTTTGATGTGGCCAAGATACTTCAACTTTCAGTACAGGACACTGTTTACGAGCCACTGTCTCCTCGGTGTTTAACTCGTGTAGAGTGTCTCGATGTTTGTCCTCTTCTTGATCCATGGTATTCTGATGATTGTTCTGTAACATGTGAATTCAAAAGCTCCAATCTTTTTCTTCAATAATTGAGGGAGAGTCCAGGATTCACAACCGTAAGTTGCCACAGGAAAAAATGCACATCTCAAGATTTTTACTTTAACTAATTTACTGGTGCTTTGCCATATGTTCACATGCTGGGGGGGGGGGGCAGTGGGTCTATTTTTTCCCTCCTATTGTGGAGTCTCGGACCCAAACAGGGAAGACACTGTTTGTGATGGCTGAGAGTAATGAGACTTAACTTACCCACATGTACCATGACCTTATTTATGTGAAACTTCACAGCCTAATAAAGGATCTGGTATAGATAATGTAGTCATAGTTGAGGTTTCAACTTCACTGCAGTCGGGTCACCCCATATTTGCTCCGTTCCTGTGCCAGTGTAAATCAAAATGAAATATCCCTCACTGTCCCATTTGAAAGAACTGGTGCACAAACAATCAGCCCCTGCACAATCCAGAAGAGTTTGTCCCATGATTAAACTTACTTGAACAGCCCTTCTTCTGCGTTCATCCAAGGATGTAACTGTGTTCTGCTTGTTAACAGAATGACTGTGATATTTGCACTTTTCGGCTGACACATCCGACTTCTGCAGGCATTTGTTGACCAGGTTACCTTCCTGGTGTACCATAATCTGATCCTTTCGAACTATAAGATAGTTTCCGGAAGTTTTACGATAACTCTCTGTGAAGGACAGGTGATGATGAAGGAGCTGGTCATTTACCTCATAAATCACACCCAAACAGCAGTATATCTGCTATGGAACTGCCTTTACCTTTAACCAAAACAGGCGGGGGAAACAACCAGAAAAATTTTTAACTTTCGCCTTGGAATTCCTCAGATTGTAGAACTCTGCTGCAGCACTGTATTCTGTTTTTCCCATTTCTGATAACACTGCTCTAGTTTACAATTTGTATTTTTAAAATAATAATAATGGGGTGCCTTTGCAGCCATCGATACAGGGATGCCTTTGCAGCCATCGATACAGGGGTGCCTTTGCAGCCATCGATACAGGGGTGCCTTTGCAGCCATCGATACAGGGGTGCCTTTGCAGCCATCGATACAGGGGTGCCTTTGCAGCCATCGATACAGGGGTGCCTTTGCAGCCATCGATACAGTAACAGAAATAAACTCTCACTACTACTATCTGTATGTAACACTTTTTAGGGGAATGTAGACTAGGGGTTGTGCCCTGAGGATGTAGGGGCGCATGGATAGTGCTGTCGCCACAGACTGTACAGGTTAGGATGTTAAGTTTCCCCCCAACAGAAAAGTGTCCGTCACCTTACCAGGGGTCAACCCCAGGTCTTCCGCATGGCTGACATCAATTAATTAGACCCCACAGAAGCAGAGGGAAGAAACAGAACATAGAGGATGCATCAGACTATATAAACATGTTTCTGTCCACAGGACGTGTTCATTTTTGATGCGAAGTCAGAACTGTTTGTATGGGTTGGGACAAACACCACCGAAAATGAACAGAAAAATGCTCTAGTGTATGCACATGTAAGTCTTGTCTGTATGTGTGAAGCATGTTTATACATAAGCACATATTAAAGGGTGTTTAAAAGCAAAAAGACTGATTTAACTGCCCTGGGTTTTATCTTATCTGGCTCTTATCATTCTCTCTATACCAGGTAGCTGGTTGTCAGCTGAGAGCACTGGGTAAAAGCACCAACTCTATAACTATAGTCCTTATACACACACACAAACACATGACATGTTTTCATTACATTTATCTTTTGTTTTAAGATTAATCATTACCACTCTTAAAAAGCATGTGACACTGCTGCATCATTCCTATCCTTTGTTCAAACTGAAAAATTGTCACTCTTAAAAATCACCTGGCACTTCTTCATTTTACCTATTTTTTGTATAAGTTGAAACACACACTCAATAATCAAATGACACTTATTCATTATACCTATTCTGTGTGTAAGCTGAAACACTGTCATTCTTAATAATCTCATGCCTTTCTTCATTTTATACCTATCCTTTGTTTAAGTTAAAACCCTGTCACTCTTAAAAAACATTTTTTTTTTCAACTGACACTTCTTCACTATACCTATTCTTTGTTTAAGTTGAAACAGTGCAACATGATAACTATCTGACATTCTTGCACATGCAATGTATAATTCACCAACACTTGTTTATTTCTAAATTGCCCAGGAGTACCTGAAGAAATCTGACCATCCACTGATTCCTGTCACTTGTGTCAAGGAAGGGAGAATTTCCAAAGCATTTAATTCTGCAATTGCTGCATAATTATCTCTGACATCAAATTCCATTTCATTTCATATCTGCATTTGAGACTTTACATCTGTTCAATATGATAGCATAAGTGTGCTGTTTGTTACAGTTTTGATGAAGATGTTACCCAAATACTAAGAAGAGGGACTTTTGTTTCCTTAAGATAAATAAAGGTTTTTATGTACAGGGTCTATGTGGTAAAATGGCTAAGAGCTGTTTTGCCTCATTCTCTGTGGGTTTTGATCTTTGATATATGACTGCAGGTGTTATGGAGCTCTCCCTCTCTGGGGTTTGTGGCAGTGAGTAAGGGAATGGAGTGGTGGGGGGGGGGGAGGGAGAATGTATGTATGTGTTAAAGTAAAATATACATGAAGAAGGAAATAGCTGAAAGAGAATAAAGATGAAGAGCCACTTCGAGCAATGTTAAAAAATGACAAGCACCAAATTTGTTCACAGCACAAGCTTCAGAAAATGCGCACACATTTTGTTGCAAATACGAATAAAACATTAAAAAATGCCACATGTTTAAATTTATTTATTAATTGCACTTTACACTAGCATAGTAATTCATTTTATTTTTCAAGAACAAGAGAGGTGTGGAAAAGCATAACAGGTCAAGCCATTTGGCCAGATACCTGACGACAATGGCATTAAACATGAGTTCATTTTGTTTAAACATCAAAAAATCCTTTGATCTGGTCAATTTTAACACCAACATAACCATCCAATTTAGTCTGAATGAAATAACCATCCAGATTTAGTCTAAACATCAACAAACCATCTGATTTGATTAACTTTTAACATTAACATGACCATCCAATTTAGTCTGTCGGAATAAAATAATCATCCAAATGAGTACACAATGGATTCAGCAGACGTGATAAATGCTGCTGAATATCAAGGTCATATTGCTGATTACAATGACACTGGTGGGATCAGTGTAGCCTTGTTAAGAATGTGTCTGCGAAACTTATAAAGTCTGTAAGGTACACAGGAATGTTGGTCAACCAATACAGAACTGACATGATCAGCAGAAGAAGAAAAAAGAAGACTAATATACTAAACATATCCTGAGGAGAAGTGGACAGAGAATCACTAAAGATGTATTGAAATGGCAAACAAATTAGATAAGGAGCTAAGGAGGTCCATGAGAAACTTTAAGACAAACACTGCTGAAAGAGGCTAGAAGTGTTGGACTAGATTCTACCTATGATTTCAAAAGGATTTCACAAGATAGAACAGATCAGAGGCGTAGACTGATAATCAGCCATCAAATTTTTCACAAGACAATAGAGTAAACAACAACACAGGGCTACAACCTGATATTAGTGAGACAACAAAAGAAGAGTAGCGATTGTGAACTTTTCAAGCATTTAATGCTGATTGTCCATTATGATCATTTAGCAAATACACCAATTTTATATTTGCTTTTATTGCCAATGGAACTCAAGGGAAAGTTGATACAATCAGACAGTTACTGGTACCATCGGAACTTCTTCTTCTTGTTCACCAGCTGTACACTCTGGCGTAAAGTTCTGGTTGTTCGTCCACTTCTAGACTGCAGTCCTGCTCCAATGATTCAATTGAATGCAGACTGCTGGTTCCTTGCCTCTCAGGCAGATGCACTCTAGACTTCATAGGAAGCTCCCCAGTTAGTCGACTCTTACGACGTGCTTTTGGGGAGGCAGTGGGTCTATTCTTGTTTTCCCCACAATAGGGCCCCAGAGCCCACATGGGGGTCACCATCGGAACAAACTCTTCACTTGCTCCTGAAGTTTGGGGGAGGCAGGGGCGGAGCTTACGGGAGTGTCCCGAGTGCTCTGATGTTGATTCTTAATTCAACACTCAATGCCAATGGACCATAGGTTCTCTAGCCCATGAAATGTCTTACCTATTTTAATAATCTGTCTCTATGTGTCTTCTTCGGATACATAGTAAATAAATGTTTTTATGGTGGTCTGGTTCCACAATATCTATTGCTTCCAGTGTAAGGACTAGGTAGAAGTCCTGATGAACATGTGAGCTCAATACAGATGCATCAAATGTTAGCAAAATTTGCGGCAGTGACCTTGGTATCAATACAGTTCCATGCAATAATTATTTGATCATTTTTGCTCATAATACATACATATCCTAAATAACTTTGCATGTCGCCTGGAAGACTTACAGAGGACGGCTACTTTCATTAACAGCATTCGTTTAGGTTTATTTTAAATAAAACATAGAAGAGGTTGAAAACAATTTATTCATTTCACTGCTTCTACGGTATGAAACTGTTCTACCAATCAGTGCAATGCAAGTTGTTTGTAATTCTTCAGATTTCAGACAGTGGATAATTTTGCTGCTACCGACTATTATTTTAAAGGCATGACTGCTAGCACAGAAATGAGTTAACAGATTTGTTGATCCTTGCAGTGGCATTGGTTTAACTCTAATTCCCAGACAGTTAATTTTTCTTTTCCTCAAGTAAAAGCCCTTTTTAGGCCACTGGCGCATCAAGCACATGATGCTTAACTAATATCTTTATAGACCAATTGGTATACAATGGGTGATGTGGTCACATAATGGCAGCTGCCTTTCCTTCCCATTTCCTAGTACCCATTATATGTTGGGCTGACCTGGGAGCCAAGGTCATTTTTGAAAAAAATGCTGACTAGAGGATTTTAATCCAAGACCTTCGGGTCGGCAGGCAAGCATCTAGCCACTACGCTACATGACCACTTTTTTTATTCCGGACAGGTTTTATTTTAAAGTTGATACAAAACTGCTCTCAGTTCTTTTGGCATCAACACAGCAACATGAGATGCTGCCGCACAGGACCATTCTGGATGGCGTACATCCCTCAGGCATGGTGCATCAGACTGCCAGGCAACAGAGGTTGTATATCCAGAGAAACAGAGGCAGACTTGAAAGAACTGTATCGCTAATCCCACACCTACTGCGGCTTCCCCCTGTTATCCGCAGTGCTCAAGAACTTTCCGGACTCATTTAGGACTAATCAGCCACCTTTGTACTTATAATTACTGATCATTACTACTTTAAATAAAAGTGGTCTTCATCACTGGTGATGGATGAACAACTTCAAAGTAATGACTTTATTGAATCATGGATGGTTGGACGATTGGTGAATAAATTTGTAGAAGTGGTGGAAATGTGGTTATGAAGACTAATGAAGTAAATACCCCGGATGACAAACAGATGTTTTGAACAAAAAAGATTAATGAAGAGAACTGATCACTCAAATAAGAAGGAGACTATACTCTTTGGTCATGTCATGAGAAGGAGAAAGCTGGAGTAAATGATAACGGCGGAAAAGTTGGAGGGTGAAAGAGATCAAGAGAGAAGATGCTGGACAGTCTGACACTGTGGCCTGGAAGACCACCTGTGTCAAAACTGACTGAAAGTACATGAGACAGAAGGTTGTGAATAGACATGACTATCAATGCCACACGGCATAGACTATAAGAAGAAGAATATGGATCTCAAAAGAGTTACAGACATGCTAAAAACCACATCCATCAAAAGCCTGAGACATTAATAAGTAGTACTGAAGAAATGTACTGGATACACATATCAAATTTTCTCCCCAAGATTCGCTTCATCACCTCTTTAGACAGGGACAATGTGTCACATTCAAAGGACAGGGCACAAGAGATTTCACCACATACGTTGAAGTTTTCTGATGTAGGAAACACAGAAATGTGTCCCTGCAACAAGGCACCTGAACAATTCTGTGCATGTACTTCAACACTGTAAACTATGCTGCTAACAGAGAAGCAATCTGGCCTGCTCCAACCTCAAGGAAAGTTGTTTGCTAAACAAGAATATCTGGACTGCATGATAGGTTTCATCAAGGCTACCACCCTCCTGATGTAAGTTTTGATAGGTTTCGTCAAGGCTACCACCCTCCTGATATAAGTTTTGATAGGTTTCGTCCAGGCTTCCACCCTCCTGATATAAGTTTTGATAGGATTCGTCAAGGCTTCCACCCTCCTGATATATGTTTTGATAGGTTTCGTCAAGGCTACTTACTACCACCCTCCTGATATAAGTTTTGATAGGATTCGTCAAGGCTACTACCACCCTCCTGATATAAGTTTTGACAGGTTTCGTCAAGGCTACTACCACCCTCCTGATATAAGTTTGCTGAAGAAGAAGACTGTCCGGCACAACTGGAATTGGTGCCTCAAAGTAACTGCTGACTGTTTCAATGAAGTGAAACCAGTACAGTACAAAGTCTTTGGTAAAAGGCACAGAGAAGTGGACTTGACAGTTTTAGCTAACTCCTTCAGTACCTAGTGGTACTGAAGATTTTGACTTGAAAGTAATTAATAAACATTTAGGCTTGAAGCAGTTCAAAAACAGGCTATGAAAGAGGAACTGGTATTTCAAATACAATGAGTTAATATAACATTCACCTGAACAAAAAAAATATCAGATCTTTAGAACTACAAAGAAACACATGGTTAAAGTTGAGAAGATCGACTTCACTGCACTGGGTTTTATCCCACATGGCTCAGTCTCTCTCTCTCTACAGAACAGCTTGCTACATGCCGAGAACATCTCACACAGCATGAACACTGTAGCTTCTGAAAAACTGGTGAACTGTGTGCATTGTGAGTCTGATACTGAAAGAGTTGAAGCAATGATGAACAGGAGTCACAGTGATAAACAGGACTATATGGCTAAGTATGGCAATAAAATAAAGTGCTAGAACAGGAGTCACAGTGATAAACATGACTATAGGACTAAGTATAGCAATAAAAAAAAGTGCTAAAACAGGAGTCACAGTGATAAACAGGACTATAGGACTAAGTATGGCAATAAAATAAACAGGAGAAGTACATGAGGTGTATAACTATAATTTTGCACAACTATATTTATGAGACTATAATAGTTTCATTTTTAATATTTTAATAACAAATATTAGGTTAAACACAATTACATAAACAACATGAAATTTAACTTGAGAAAAGTAATATTATAGTTAATTATTGCTATTTAATATCAGTTATGGACAACTATGATAAGAATGAAACACAGACTGACCTATCTTTACAGATCAAAGGTTAGGACTAAGTTATAGTTAAGATTGACTATAAAGTTATCCAAGGCTAGGTTAAGATAACAGTTCCAGCCTATTTAGCACCACAATTATCAAGAAAGACAGACAATCAAACAGCTACTGGTGCCACTAGCATTGGAACTCTTCTCTGGCTGCTGAATATGGGGACGGAGTGTTTACTGGAATGTCCTGAGTGCTGTAATGTCTGCGCTCAACACAACAATAATGAAGAAGAGCATAATTTTACAGTAGTCATAGTCGGAATTCAGATCTTTTTGACATAACAATAGAACATTGAGTTATAGTTCAGACCTATCTATGTTTGCAGTTTCTTGTTCACTATTGGCATCTTCAACACTGCCATATTTCTCTTCACGAGCTCTCTGGAATTCTGGGTGACTTCGAACATGATCCGCTGCCTTGTAAATCAGCCTCATAAATTCATTGACATCGAATGCGTAGTTTGTGAATTTGGCATGAGCTCCCATCGTTGGATGATGACCCTGGGGAATACAGCAACACATTCTCATTAAACACTGCTCATGGGGATGCAAAGGTGCTGAGCTACATGTGCTGGTGAAGCCAACACCAGGGCCCATACTCGGCAAGACTTATCTACACCTCTCTGTGGTCATCTTAGAAACAGGTGTTTTTTTATTTTGTTTTTAAACCAGAAGCCTGCAAACCTAGACATAATTTTTTCCACCAAAGAGTATTTGCATGAAAGGCAAGGAACTGTGATGACCCTGCTTTGCATGGTCTCCATGATTACATTGTGGCAAGTAGAAAGTCCGTGCAATAAGTGACAGCACAAGATACTTGTGGCTAGTCGACTAAGCGAGGGGAAGCCCGAGCTAGACTCGTGGTCAGTGGATCAACAGAAGTCGAGGAAGGCGGTTGTATTTGGTTGAAGAGGTCGTCTTTATGTCTCGCGAATGGTTAGTGTTCGAATATGTCGCGAGTGATAGAAGTGTGAATAATTATTGAATCATGGGGAAATAAATGTAACTGAATAAGCGAGTGATAGAAGTGTGAATAATTATTGAATCATGGGGAAATAAATGTAACTGAATAAACTGACAGCATGTACAAAGGAGCTGAGTGGAGTTTGTGTTTTCAACCCTAGATGTTAAAGTCGGTGCAATCCAAGAATCATTTCAGGAACCAAAAAGTCTGTAAAATGGATGTGCAAGCAAACACTCACTTCCTAGAATAAGACCAAAGCCCCAATGAATGGAGTGGAGAGTACACAAACTCAAAATCAAAGAAGAAACACTGCTAATAAAATGTAAAAAGTTATAATTACAAGAAAGTAATGCTAAAAATATTCGGCTATCCTCCGAACAACGGGCACAAAAGATGGCGGCCGCAAAATATCCTTACGAGCCTCAGTCACGTGTCAATTGCACACTTACGGTCACGAGCACATCGCGGGAAAACTAGGATTAGTGTCTGTTGACAATTTCGAGAAACGGAACAAACTGCCGAGTTAAACTCGCCGCCGAGAGTCTCCTCCGCGGCGCGGAGGGGGCTAAACTAGATGGCTGGGACCCACAAGCAGCAGCTACTGCATCTCCTGCAGCGTCTTTATTTTATTTGCTCGTGTGGGAGGCTCTCGAGACACAGCTGTAAACAACACCACAACATGTTAATACTTTTATGTGTGAATAAAGAAGAAGAAGAATTAAAGAAAGCCAAGTCAATAATTTTCAAGATTAGAAGAAAGTAAAAGCAAACCATTTTCAAACTTACAAGAAAGAAATGGTGAGGGATAACTTATCACAGAAAAAGGTTTAGCTTCTAAATGATGACCCGCTCATCCAGATATTTCCCAAGTGCTACAGTCTACTTTCCTAGATTGCTGCTCTTCAGCTGCTAGTCTACTTTCTTAGATTGCTGCTCTTAAGCTGCTACAGTCTACTTTTTCAGACTGCTGCCCTTCAGCTGCTAGTCTAATTGCTACTCTTGAGCTGCTATAGTCTACTTTCTTAGATTGCTGCTCTTCAGCTGCTATAGTCTACTTTCTCAAATTGCTGCTCTTAAGCAGCTACAGTCTACTTTTTCAGACTGCTGCTCTTCAGCTGCTAGTCAAATGTCTTAGATTTCTGCTCTTCAGCTGCTACAGTCTACTTTCTTAGATTGCTGCTCTTCAGCTGCTACAGTCTACTTTCTTAGATTGCTGCTCTTCAGTGGCTAAAGTCTACTTTCTTAGATTTCTGCTCTTTAGCTGCTACAGTCTACTTTCTTAGACTGCTGCTCTTCAGCTGCTAAAGTCTACTTTCTTAGACTGCTGCTCTTCAGCTGCTAAAGTCTACTTTCTTCAATTGCTGCTCTTCAGCTGCTAAAGTCTACTTTCTCAGATTGCTGCTCTTCAGTGGCTACAGTCTACTTTCTTAGACTGCTGCCCTTCAGCTGCTACAGTCTACTTTCTTCAATTGCTGCTCTTCAGCTGCTAAAGTCTACTTTCTCAGATTGCTGCTCTTCAGCTGCTACAGTCTA